GTTTGTTTCATACCAAAGCCACTTTCACTATATGGGAGAATGAGTTCATATAATTAGTCTATCATGTTACGGAAAGAGTCAATATTTATTACTAACCACTAATTCCATCTGCTTTAGGAAAATCATTCAGATTGTACCCGGATTTATCTTAAAAGATGTAAATCTTCATCTTTTTTTTTTATAAAAATATATGATTCTCCAGAAAGCAGTAACTTTCTTACTTCGATCTCAGCAATTTTAAATCCTTCTTTTGCCACATCGACCCATGTATGTAATCATCCTGTTCTTACTTGATAATTCATTAACTTATGGGGTGGTTTTGACTTGGCCATATAGATCACATAAAGCTGTGCATGTATTTCGTTGATTGGAATGAACCATAATTGTAGAACATTTTATCACAAATCTTGAACATTTGCGGAACCAAATCCATAACCTAGTCCAGCATTGGTAACAAATTATGCAAATGCGATGAGATGTGATGACACTGTTGTGTTTCCGAATGTTTTGTATGTAGTGAGGTTTAGATGCGTTGTTCAACCTAGCTACATGTGTACATCAAAGTAAAAACTGTGTACACATTTTTTTAATACCTGAATTGACATTAGTTCACCTACTTTACCACAACCATAGACTCCGTAGTTAGTCTATTCCAAAACTTGAACACAGCTCTCATCCTCAACGTACTCATCTATGACACAATTTTCAACCCGATTATCAAAAGCTGTTATACCAATAAATGAATCTCAGGTGTTCTTTCTTGAATTTAAAAATAAATGGTGATTGAAAGTAGGAAAAAAGTGCCAACCTTACAATATGTATAAGCTAACCCGATAAGGAATGGTTATATGTTCCTTTAAAATTGATAAGTCACACTTATTTCATAATTTAAAATTTTCTTAGAGCAATAAAGCATAGATTTTTGAACAAAACATTTCAAACGTATCATAAATTCATCATTTTGTTGAAACTATAAAAAACTTGCCATGCAGTAAGAATCCATTTAAAATCATAAGTAATAATGTAAACATTTAATTTTGACAGTTTCAGTAAACCTTTGAATACAATTTTAATATTAACAGCTGGTTCATTAATAGTGTAAAATTATTCATATGGACGAAATGTAAACAAAATTGCAGAGTGAAATTTAAAGGCCTCTGTGGCAGAGCCCCAAGGAAATTTACATCGTTTCTCTTTTTAGGGCTCACCTACAGACCAATACACCCCTACCACCTTCTAGGGCTTTAGACACCCCTACCAAGTTTCTACGCCCAGCCGTTCTCTCAAATTAGCTGTGACAAAAACCTCGTTTTCCTCCATAATAATAACATGGGATGGGAATTTAAAGGCCACTGGGGCAGAGCCCCGAGGGAATTCTCCATGTTTCTCTTTTGATGGCTCATCTACAGACCAGGACCTTTCTTTAGACACCTCTACCGAGTTTCTACGCCCAGCCGTTCTCTCAAAATAGCTGTCACAAAGAAAAACAGTTTCAAATTAATATATAGATACTCATAAGGTTACCATGGGGAACTACATTGCCACTGGGGCGGAGCCCGAAGGGATTTTTGAGATAAGAATATGCCTATATGTTAATTGGGAATGTGAGCTATCATCATGCCAAATTTCAGCCCAATCCATCCAGTGGTTTATGCGTGATTGACCTTCAAACACACAAACAAACAAACACACAAACTTTCACATTTATAATACAGGGTGGGGCAATGAAAGCGCCCCAATTTATAAACAGTACAAACTCAATAATATTTACCCTATGGATATAAATAGCACACCAAAACACAGCTTATCTTTTGCCATTTTAACTTAACAAAGTCATTTTTCCATTTCTTGAGAACAAAATCCTACAAGTGACTTCATTGTCCTACTTGACATTCCTTTTTAGCCACTTGAAACTTCACCAAATACTCCTCCAGCACTTCTTCAGGAATCACTTTAGTTTTTGGATTATACTTAGCTTCGGTTCAAGCAAATCCGTGGGGTGACTTTGAAAAACCTAGAACGTCAAGTAGCTTATTAGAACAACCCCCCCCCCTCCCAAAAAAATTAGCCAACGTAAAGCTGTCAACAACAAAAGCTTCCTGGCAAATCTCTTCAGACTTTGAGTTACTTGGACTCATATTCTTTTAACATTTGCTGGTGTACAAAGAGTTTTGCGGCACCCACCGATTATTTTGTTGTTTAAGCGATTATCCTAAATAATTTTACCCAGTTAAAAACATTGTTTTCCAATCTAGAACAGCGCCATGTTGACCAAGGATGGAATACGGTCCAAACAATCTCTGGGTTTTTTGCACAAGAACCACTATTTTATAAATAGGTTTCCACATCAAAATCTCAGTGTTAATAGCCTCAGACATAATATTTACTAAAATGGCATAGTTTAACTGATGTTTTAAGCACAGCTGATCATTCATTGTTGCAACAATTCACATGTGACAGGTAAAACAAATTTTAGCGTTCTCATTGCCTCACCCTGTATTAGTAAGATTAGTAAGATAACTTTTTACAACACAAACGAACACTGTACGGTTTTAATTTTTTTCGGTTCTCCGTTTGTTATTATATTTCGTCCCAAAAACTTATTAAAAAAATATTTCCCTAACATGTTATATTTTTCTATGTTGGGAATTAGATTGTCTACAAAATGTATATAGTGAATTTCCCATAAAAATCCGTAGAAAAAAATACCGAGGCTGCTTTTGAAATTAAAAAAAAAAATCTTTTTTCTTTTTTTCACTTTACCGAAAAAATACACCGCCTAATTCATTATTATATCACTATTTATAGATTCTCCTGTTCTTTCCGAACAAAATGAATGTGAGGTTGGCTAGGTTTACTTGTACGGTTGAATTTATCGAATTTCCAGAAAAAGGTCTGCAAAATCGCCAAAATGGGTTGGCCATTCCCCACTTTTAACATTGGCCACTTTAACAGCTTAGTATAAAATAAATAAATTTGCCAAGTTTGATCAAAATATATCCATAAACAAGCAAACTACAACATTTTCAATAATCTCCATAAGAATAACATGGGCATTTTAAATTGACTTTTTTTGTTTTCTCCGTTACCAATAACCGTACAAAAACAATTTTATATACCTACTAAATTATTTTTTTTAAGCTTTTTAATAAGGTCTATAGATAAAGTGTTTGTGTTTTGAAGGTCAAAATGAGAAAAACCAATTTTTACCACATAAAACCCTGTTCCCATGCTCCGATCATGCTGGTTCGCTAACTCATTCAAGTTTATCCTGCCTTACACCTTTAAACCAAATTTCATCAAAATCGGACAAAAATTATTTTAACGAATGGTGTTTTTGGCCTCTAGAGACATTAAAATGAAAAAGTAAATCGGGAATTTCAATGAAATTTTAAAGTCTGTTAATATTTTTGGTTGAGTTTTTGACCACTGGAACTCTAGTATAACTTAATTACTTAATTGTAATATATTTGTAGCAGGAGACAATCCTGATTCCGTAGAAACCGTAGCCATACAATTTATAGAGGGTAGGGTAGATTTAGCTCGCTATTAATTATACTACATATTGTAGCAGTAGTTGTACACCAAGATAAGCGCCCAAGGCTCTGTACTGGTAAGACACTGTTGGTGGGGGGAGAGGGTAATCACAGTAAATGGCCCCCATTAGATCAATGGGCTCAATTGTAGGCCTAATTGATCGACAGTAGCCAGGTCAGATATCCTCAGGCCTCCTTGATAATGGCACTGCCATCTTGGATCTGACTGTTCCTATCTGGTGAACTCAGGAATTATAACATTAAATGGACTTAATTTTTACCAGTCCAAAGCTGAGTAAGAAAACTATACGGTATTTGATTTGACAATACAATGAAAAAGTTTAACGGATTTTAAGGCTATCACTCCATTTTAATTTTGGACTTTTACTTCATTTGCAAAAATATCAAACGGTAAGCTTATGTTTGGGAATCTGCAGGGGCTGTCTGGTCAGGTCTGCAAATTGTTCAAGCTCACCAAAAAAGGCGACAGTGAGTCTTTCAAATCAAAAAGTGGAATTTCAATAGTCAGCCAAAAGCACAGGAGATCGAGATGGGTCCCATTTTCAACCTCACTTGAGAACATTTTATCATTAAACTACAGTATAAGCTACCTTTATAAGTAGTTATGTTATAAAGAATCTACGTTATTCTTTGTATTGAATACACATCAACAAAATAGTGCTAACAATCATTATTATTACCACAAAACAGTACTGGCTAATCTATAGTTTTTCTGTCTCAGGAGGGGCTTCACATGGAGCCAGACTGTCCCTGGGAATCCCAAACACTGTGTCCATTAGAGTCGTAAACAGCAGCAATTTGTGTTATTATTTAAATGGTTTATTACCTGTCCATCAGTGATCCTATTGTGGAAAATAGGATCACCATGGACAGTTAATATAAACCATTCAATTCAATAAGAATAAGTGATTCTGGGCCACTAAGCATAATGCATTATTATTATTATTGTTCTAGTTTAAGTACCAACATTAACCACTTAAGTAATTTTAATGGGAAGGGTTCCTCTTTTTTTCTTGTCTTCTGTTCTAGGTCATTCAGTCAGATACCTTGTAGTTTTCTTTCTTCATCTGATATCACTCTTACTTTTCTTTGTTTATTGTTTCTTGTTATTATTACTTTTAGTCTGTTTATTAATATAGTCTGTAATGTTAAAAAAACTTTGTTATTAATTATGTAATTATATGTTATTGTAAACATATAACTACAGACTAAAAGTAATAATAACAATAAACAATAAACAAAGAAAAGTAAGAGTGATAACAGAAGACAAGAAAAAAGAGAATAGGTCTAAATCATTTATTTAGGAGACAAATGGCTAAAATGCCAACATGCATAGTTTTACCTAGAGGGATTATGAGCCATTGATTTAAAGTTTAAATGTGTTCCATTATGTTTATACCTAGTTTAAAACATTGAGACTGGCAATGGAACATAAATCGGAAATAAAACAAATAACATATTTTATTCTAAAAATTTTAACATTAGTTAGTTACATACATTAAACTTTTACACAATACTTAACTTGAAACACAACAAAATCACAAGAAACAAACAAAATGGACAAGTTTTCAACTTAGTAGTTTTTTAATAAAAGAAAATATTTTTTTTATCATCGCACAAAGGTCTTTAGAAATTTTATTCTATAAAATACTTTGGAAACACAATTAGTTGTTAATCTAAAAAGGAACTAACAAGTAACTGCTTGGTTATTAATTTGCTTCCAAGGCCAAGTTGGTCTAAAGCAAAAAATTATTAAACTAAAAATTACCTTTAAATCTGCAATACAGAACTAATACGTACACATTATAAGCAATTGATTTTATCCATCTATTTAATCTATCAGCCACAGTGAAACATTTATATACATAATTCACAGTATAAAGCTGTAGGACCTCCCCACTGGCCTCAAAAAGTGTAATATTTTAGACATAGGCTAAAATAAAATAACTTCTTGATCAGCATTGTACGTGTTATTAAATTTACGGAAAGTAAATAAAGATTTGTCTTGTAACACTTAAAACATATATTTACGCTTATACTGTTACTCACAAGACGGTAAATACACAAAAGATGGTAAGTGGTGATCGATTTCGATTGGACACCCCAATCATCATCAGACCCAATAGCCACCTAATAGGCGAATGACCCATTCGCCTATTGGGCCTGATGATGATTGGAGTGTCCAATCGAAATCGATCACCACTTACCATCTTTTGTATATTTACCGTCTTGTGAGTAACAGTATAAGCGTAAATATATGTATTAAGTGTTATAAGCCGTATCTTTATTTACTTTCCATAAAATAAAAGCATTGCACAGTGGTGGTTATTTTTTATTTACAGATTGTCTTGTTTCTGTTTTGTTATTGTTTTCATTTATTTGTTTGTAAGTTTAATATTATTTTTATTTGTTAAGACAAAAGTTGTTCTGAAAAGCAGTTGTACTGAAAAACGCTTCATCAATAAAGGAATTTGTATTTATTTATTTATTGTATATTAATAATATGTCATCCATAAACGATAGATAATACAGGTAGGTATCTAAGTAACTACCCCTTGACATTGTGCAAAGAATTAAAATAAATAATTTCTATACAAAAACCTTCAACATGATTTTGTTAAATCCATTTATGACACTAAGGTTTGAAATTCCTAACTTCAGTTTTCATACTGCATAAGAATATCAGTAGAAAATTTATAGGATTTTTAAATACTGCCAGCATTCACTAGAGGAAGTGTGTTTTTGTTACTTGTATTGAAACTTCAACCTCATTAGTACCAACTACTTCATATGTTTTAATCTATCATTTATCTTAAAGTTTGGAGCAAATATTATTAACTTTACTCAATACTAGGGTAATTTATATACCATCAAATCTATCATCATCACGACTAAAGAGTAAATCAGTCTTACACTACATGGTAAACAAAAGAAGTAACAGCCAATAATACTAGAGTTGATGTAAGTACGAGAAGAATCTCGGTTAGACTGCGATGCAATCTCTCTCTTGCAGTAGGTCAACGGTGGTTGATACTTTTTTCTTCACCTCGTCCTTCTTTGACTTCAATTCCTCGGTTTGCATCCTGTAGAACTTGAGTTGGTCCAGGAGTACCATCCTCTCAAGCTGAGCTGTAGACAATCCTCTAGTCTCCTCAGTCTCCACCAAAGTAGGATTAGGATATCTAAGAGCTTGAGGTGTAGGGGAACTTAATTTCTGTTGAATGTTCGGCACGGAAAACTTTGACTTAAAATCTTTCTTCTCGTTGTCCTTGTCATCTGGATTTACACACACCACTGAAAAGATTGAAGGGTTAAAATAGTGTTGGGAAAAGTCATACATAGTCTTATAAGTAATAGCGTAATAGTCATGTAAAATGTGCTTTCAGAAATTTTTTTTATTTTGCGGGCTTTGACAGTAGTTTTTATAAGTTATTACCTATTGTTATTAATAAACATTTTTCGTATAAAACTCAACTTTTATTAATACAATACTTCACACTTAAGAAACTCATACAACATAAACAATATTTCATTAGTAAACAAAATCAATAATAGATACAAGAAACCCTTCCCGACAGACCGCCACCATTAATTGATTTTCAATTAAGTAATCTATTGAATTAAAAATCATGTTTAACGAGTACCTAGGATAGCTGCAACAGGGAAACTAATAAAGTGAGTTTTTTTATTAAAATATCAATAGCTTAGTATGAAATAAATATATCCGCCAAGTTTGATCAAAATATATCCATAAACAAGCCAACTACAACATATTATAATATTCCCCATAAGAATAACATGGGAATTTTAAATGAAAAATTTTTTGCATTTTCTCCGTAACCAATGACCGTACAAAAACACTTTCATATACTAAATTATTTGTTTTTTTAAACTCTTTAAAAAGGTCTGGAGAAAAATTGCAAAATTTTGCGTTTTAAGGGTAAAAAATGAGAAAACCCCATTTTGACCCCAAAATCCACCCCCCTCCCCCTCTGTTAAACACCGTTCCCATCAAGCTTATCCCGCCTTACACCTTCTAACAGAATTTTATCAAAATCGGACAAAAATTAATTACTCAAGTTATCGTGCGGATGGACACACACACACACATATATATATATAAATTTTAACGAATGGGGTTTTTGGCCTCTGGGGACATCAAAATGAAAAAGTAAATCGGTCTCGGGCCTAGGTCTTACCATGAGACCTACGGTAATAGCTACTTCCCTAAAGGGAAATTCGTTAAAATTATATAATTGATTTTGAGACATTTATAATTTTATTTTATGAACAGAACTATTTTTGTTATTAGTAAACATTCATTTGATATTTTCATTATCAGCAAGTTTGGTTAGGTTATGACAGTTAAATTAATTTAAATTTAACCTACAAACGATATGTTTTGACAGCGACAGTGATAGAGATACCGGTAACAATTTCCCACGAACAGTTCGGCTATGCACGGTATGATGCGTTCTGCACGGCGCGGTGGTGGGCAGTGGCAGTCTGTCGGCAACTTCTCGTTAAATACAGCTGTGTCTTTCTTTAAATGAATTCAATAACAACAGTTGTTATTCATGCCTTTGAAGTATGCTACATTTTCAGCTGAATTAATTATTGAGCGGAGCGAGTGAAGCTCTTATACGTCGACTCTTATGCGTTTCGTAATACGCAAACTCCTCCTAGACGGCTGAATCAATCGTTTTCAAATTTTGCATGGAGATAAAGACCATATCGGTGAGTGCCAACATCTATACGGCGTTAAAAAAGTCTCTCAGGAATCCGCCCCACTGGATCTCAAAGTTGCAATGTAATCCTTATGTAAGTAGTATTTGACAAATAAACAAAAACATATGGTCAGCTGTTGACCTTTGAATGCAGTAGATAAAGAAATAGCTGATAGCATAGCATTAATCCACAGATATTAGAACAGAAACGGTATGGATCATAAATTATAATCAAATGACGACACTAGCTTGAGGTTCGTGACGTAGGAAGTGGTGAAGGAAGTAGTAAAGGTGAGCAGTCTAGAGTGTGGAAACTGTTTATGACGATTAGATTTAGGTATCTGCATTCCTAAAATTCTATGGGGAGGGAGGAAAACGGGTCCGCGACGTAGGATGTGGTGAAGGAAGTAGTCAAGGCGAGCTGTCCGGAGTGTGGGAACTGTTTATGACGATTAGATTAAGGAATCTGCATTCCAAAAATTCTATGGGGAGGGAGAAAAACGGGTCCGCGACGTAGGAAGTGGTGAAGGATGAAGTAAAGGCGAGCTGTTCGGGGTATGGGATCTGTTTATGACCAATAGATTAAGGTATTTGCAATCCTAAAATGCTATGGAAAGGGGGGAAAAAGGTCCGTGACGTAGGCAGTGGTGAAGGAAGTAGAAAATGCGAGCAGACCGGAGTGTGGGGACTGTTTATGACGATTAGATTAAGGTATCTCCAAACCTAAAAATGCTATGGGAAGGGAGGAAAACAGGTCCGTGACTTAGGAAGTGGTGAAGGAAGTAGTAAAGGCGAGTTGTTCGGCGTGTGGGATCTGTTTATGACCAATAGATTTTACGGTATTTTCAATCCAATAATGTTAAGGGAAGGGAGGTAAACAGGTCCGTGACGTAGGAAGTGGTGAAGGATGTAGTCAAGGCGAGCTGTCCGGAGTGTGGACACTGTTTATGACGATTAGATTAAGGAATCTGCATTCCAAAAATTCTATGGGGAGGGAGAAAAACGGGTCCGCGACGTAGGAAGTGGTGAAGGATGAAGTAAAGGCGAGCTGTTCGGGGTATGGGATCTGTTTATGACCAATAGATTAAGGTATTTGCAATCCTAAAATGCTATGGAAAGGGGGGAAAAAGGTCCGTGACGTAGGCAGTGGTGAAGGAAGTAGAAAATGCGAGCAGACCGGAGTGTGGGGACTGTTTATGACGATTAGATTAAGGTATCTCCAAACCTAAAAATGCTATGGGAAGGGAGGAAAACAGGTCCGTGACTTAGGAAGTGGTGAAGGAAGTAGTAAAGGCGAGTTGTTCGGCGTGTGGGATCTGTTTATGACCAATAGATTTTACGGTATTTTCAATCCAATAATGTTAAGGGAAGGGAGGTAAACAGGTCCGTGACGTAGGAAGTGGTGAAGGATGTAGTCAAGGCGAGCTGTCCGGAGTGTGGACACTGTTTATGAAGATTAGATTAAGGTATCTACAAACCTAAAATGCTATGGGAAGGGAGGAAAACAGGTCCGTGACGTAGGAAGTGTTGAAGGAAGTAGTAAAGGCGAGTTTTCTGGAGTGTGGGATCTGTTAATGACCAACAGATTAAGGTATTTTAAATCCAATAATGCTAAGGGAAGGGAGGTAAACAGGTCCGTGACGTAGGAAGTGAGGAAGGAAGTAGTAAAGGCGAGTTTTCTGGAGTGTGGGAACTGTTTATGACTATTAGATTAAGGTATCTGCAATCCTAAAATGCTATGGAAAGGGAGGGAAACAGGTCCGTGACGTAGGAAGGGTTGAAGGAAGTAGTGAAGGCGAGTTGTTCGGAGTGTGGGAACTGTTTATGACGACAAGATTAAGGTATCTGCAATCCTAATATGCTATGGAAAGGGAGGGAAACAGGTCCGTGACGTAGGAAGTGGTGAAGGAAGTAGTCAAGGCGAGCTGTCCGGAGTGTGGGAACTGTTTTTGACGATTAGATTAAGGTATCTACAATCTTAAAATTCTATGGGAAGAAAGGGAAACAGGTCCGCGACGTAAGAAGAGGTGAAGGAAGTAGTAAAGTGAGCAGTGTGGAGTGTGGGAACTGGAAACCATTTGTAGCAGTTAGATTAATGTATCTGCAATGGTGAAATGCAATGAGAAGGGATGGAAGCATGCCTACGACATAGAAAATGGTGAAAGAAGTAGTAAAGGCTAGCAGTGCAGAGTGTGGGGAACGTGTGTGGCAATTAGATTAACGTATCTAAAATACAAAAATGCTATGGAAAGTGATGAAAACAGGTCCACAATGTAGGAAGTGGCTTAGGAAGTAGTAAAGTATGAGCATAGTGTGAGAACCGTCTGTGGCAGTTAGATTAATGTATCTTCAATCCTAAAAAAAATGGTATGAGAAGGAAGGAAACAGCCCCCACGACGTAGGATGTGGTGAAGGAAGTAGTAAATGCTGGCAGTGCAGAGTGGGGGAACCGTTTGGGAAGTTGGATAAATGTATCTAATACTTAAATGCTATGAGAAGGAAAGGAATCAGGTCTATGACGTAGGAAATGATGAAGGAAGTAGTAAGGCTTGCAGTGCAGAGTGTGCAAACTGTCTTTGGCAATTACATTAATGTATCTGCAATCCTAAAATGCTATGGGAAGAGAGGGAAACAGGACCAAGACGTAGGGGGTGGTGAAGGAAGTTGTCGAGATGAGCAGTGTTGAGTGTGGGAATGGATTAATGCATCTGCAATGCTAAAATGCTATGGGAAGAGACTGTAGACTGTAGGTTAAAATGATTACAAAGCACGAATCGATACATACTTCGATACATGCAATCGTTTACAATAATTTTACAACTGAGTTGACAACAGCTGATTTTTACTCCATAGAGGCTAAAAACGATTTTTACTCCATAGAGGCTAAAAACGATTTTTACTCCATAGAGGCAAAAAACGATTTTTACTCCCTAAAGAGTAAAAATACTACTTTGGGTGCATTGCATGCATTAAAAACAACTGTTTTTACTGCAGTATGACAAAAACAATATAATATGAACCCTTGATGACTCCGCTCAATTTCGTGGATGACTCTGTGAACGCCACCTAGTTTACTTTTTAATGGTAGTCAGTTCAATCATTGACTGATACTGAAGTAGACATCCCATCAAAATGGACCAGTTGTCGCAAATCTTTTATCCAAAAGGAACATAGTTGTGTAAGCCAGTCACAGAATGTGCTAGCTTTGACTGATACAACTAGACATTCCATCCCAATGTTAAAGTTGTCGCCAGTTTTTTTGTCAGAGTTAATGTGAGCCACCGATAAATTTTGCTGATTTAAATTTCTAATTTCTGTCGAATTCACAGTCTTTATTACCGACTCAAACTAATGAAATGACTTATTGTGATCCATAGCAACTTTTATGACCCATCAACTATGTCACCAACAAAATAAAGGTAGAAATAGGGTTTTAGATACTAGCGCATTCTGTGACTGGCTCACACAACGATGTTTTTTTTATAAGAAAGTTGGCGACAGCTGGGCCATATAGATCTACTTCAGTATCCAATAGTCAATGGCACTAGATAAATCTAAAATTCTTTT